ATAATAATAATAATAATAATAATAATAATAATAATAATAATAATAATAATAATAATAATAATAATAATAATAATAATAATAATAATAAAAACTTTTAAAGCGCCGGTATCCGTTAATAATTGGCCCTAACGGCCGCCCATACAAAAAAAAGATATATTGAGCAAAGATCTCTTAAGAAATCACCACAAATAAGACCTATCGATCAATCCGCTGGGTTACCTAGAGCTCCTCATCAAAAATAAAAAGCATCATATTTTTAATATGAATCGCCTACCACATATATGCTACTGTATAGCGAGAAGGCCTGTTTAAACATTAGATGGCGTAACCGTATTCGTTTCGGCTTTTTTTTTTTTTTTTTTTTGCGCGAAAAACTCACTACTGTATCACCAAAATACAGCCAAAACACTTCCATGATTGGAAAACAATCATAGATTATATCTGTCAATTTTATCCGACTCATGTTTGTGTGTGTTTTTTTTTGTTTTGTTTTGTTTTGTTTTTTTTGGTTATTTTATGAGCACTTTGTATACTCAACACAATTTCTATTATACTGAGTGTATGAAATGTCACATTATAATAAGGGGTTTACCTTCGTAGATTGGATGTTAAGATATGATAATTAAAAAAAATGACAATTACTTTTGTGATGTACCGGTAAATTATATATTATATCGTAAAGATTATTAGGTTATTCTTAGATTGTATTTTTTTTTTTTAAATATCCATTCAATATACAGGCCTATGTGTCTTTTTACCCCATTTTTAAAATGGACTATTCATAAATGTTAGTTCATACCTGGGCATCTTGATAGCTAATCACTTCAACTTTATTTAAACCAGCTTTATGATGCTAGGGATCAGTTGACGGAAACTGCAGAACGATCATCATCATTGGCAGGTAAGCAAATTAGACAGTTAGCAGTTGGAACAGGGTAGCGAAAGGGTGTGGGGAAATTGGGAAAGAGTGTGGGGGAAGGGTGGGATACTAACTAATGAGTCAAATATAAATTAATATTTCTAAAACACAGTTTTATTAGCGAGTTTTTCTCGGTTACGTTTAATGCGTGTGTAGAACCACTAGAACTAGATAGAAATAATGCCACCGTTGGACAAGGAAATTAGACAAACATTCTTCGAGCTTTCGTTACTAAGGCCCGACGGTGACGTTGAAATATCAGGCAAAGGTTCTCAATTTGTGCCATGGACCTTCATGCGAATGATAGGCATTTTTAACCTTGGTGGGGACGTCAACACGTCAACACGAAACAGCAGGAGAGAAAGGGGTGTGTAGCTGATTCAGGAATTCGAAATAAGGGTGGTGGGGGGAGGAAGGGGGCAGGCAGGGACTTTCACAAATGTGGGATAGGCCTACCCCATGAGCGCCACCATCATTATGGTACCTCTAGATTGCCGCAAATGACACTCTCTTTGTTAAATTTTATATATTACTGCACACATTGATCCATCAGCAGTGACTTCCATGAAACAATTGATAATACAAATATTTAAAACACATGCAAATATGAATTTGCGGGGAATGGGTTATTTCAAGGAGAATCTTGCTTGTTTGCGGAGTGCGGAAGGTCATCCCGATTTCCTGTAGACTCCCGCGTGTTCCGGGAGAGACTTGGGACTCCTGTTATAAAGGGCCTCGCTGGTATGTGGGGGGTGGGGGATGAGATTACAATTATATAGTTAATGCTGGAGAATAATAATTTTAATTATTAATAGTTTTTAGCACTAGAAAGTACTGGATAAATACATTGGCGTATCTAGTGATGCTCGGGAACCCCCCCCCCCCCACCAGTCGCCCCATTTAAAATGTTAAGAGGGAAAAAAAACCATGCCTAAAAGTAGATAAAATCACCTCATATCAGCTTATTTTACCATAAAAATGTACTAAAGCACAAAAGCTCGCATGTACGGTATTAGTTATCGAACACACATTTAATCATCAATTAAAATTTACATAGAAAAAGTAATAAAACATCTTAATTAAGTTAGAAATTGGGATCAATGGTTTGTCAGTGAAAAAATGGCGTCCGGTTGAACGCTTTTTGCAACGATAGCAACGGAGTAGTATCACGTGGTATCGTGACGTAACACTATAGTACTCTATAGACATCTACCAATAAGTAGATGTATTCGAGTCTATTGTCAAAGATAAACTTCACCTACCAGTAATAAAATATTTTCAATTACGTGAAGTAACCGCTACTATCCAGAAACAGTGCTTTAATATGTAGGGCCTACTTTTAAACAGGTTTTTTTTTTTCTTCTTTTTTTTTTATCATCATCATTTCATCATTGTCTCGGAAACATTACAAAACACCGTAAGCCTATTGTGAAGCAGAACAATTTCAATGCATTTTTGTGGAGCATTAAGGCTACCTATGACAATAAAAAAAAATAATGGTTTGATTGATGACTTGAAAGGCCTACTCTCCTCTATCTTTGTTTATTGTCTCCCATCAGCAATAACAGCTGAAAAATGCAAGTAGGTTTTTAAAATAGAAGTGATAGTAATGTCGAATTCACCATTACCGTCAAGTAAAGTTTATTTTTAAATCATTTAATACGCATGCCCTATCATAATATGTTTTGTAAATGTACATGTGTTTTGTGAAGAAAATGGATGTAGTGCTGGTATAGTGGATGTAGTGTAGATGTAGTGTAGTTGTAAGTTCATTCATTCATTCATTCATTTGGTCAATATTAACATATACAAGGAAAAACAAACAAAAAACACTATTAAAACCATTTAAAACAGTAATTCAAAAGTGTAGATGTCGTAGTAATAGATGTCGTAATAGATGTATAGTAATAGATGTAGTGTAGATACAGTGGCTGTTGAGATGAAAAAATATCAGATTTCATCTCTATATCTGTCTCTTATACACATCTAGATGTGTATAAGAGACAGGTAATATACTGTATATAAAACAAGTTAAAAAATATGTTTATATCATTAATTAATAATAAGTTGTCGTATTATTTATTATTTATAATTATTTTATGATATCATTATTATCAGAGAAGAATTACATGGAGTATAAAAATCTCCCTAATACTTGTTGGGACTGAACTCGCCCTTAGAATTTTAAGGTAAAAACCATTAGCGCTCAATATGCTTACCGAGATTATAAATGAGAGCATGAATGGAATTGTCCATGACGCGTTTACATTACTATAACGCACTAAAATTGCACTTAAATTGCAATAAAGTTCATTTAAACATCATCGCTTGGGAAAATTAATGCTTTAACTCGCATGACTCAAGTTTATTTGAATAAGGTGATATAATAATTCAAAATAAAGCAATACAATTTTTTAAATGCATTTATAATGATGTTTTAGAGTTAACCGTATAATAAATATTCATAAAAAGAATCATAATGATGTATAACATATATTTATACTTAAAAAAAACAAAAACAAAACTCCGGGACAATGAATACCTGGACTGAAATTAGTCAATGGCGGTAAAAAAGTAAGCAATTTATCATGATCATAATCATAATCATCAACATTATAATCATCATAATCATCATCATCAATTCCATCATCGTCATCATCATCACCGCCAACATCATCATCATTGTCATGATGATCATTACAATTATCACAATCATCATCATCGCCATGAACATGATCATCATCGTCATCAGCACGTCCTCATCATTGTCATCATTGTCGAAATCATCATCATCATCTTCGTCAATTTTATTATTATTATTATTATTATTATTATTATTATTATTATTATTATTATTCATTTTATGATTACTATCATTTATGTTAGTAATCCTATTATGAAAAAAGAGTGAAGTACAAGAGGTTTTATCTGACTAAACAGCTATAGACAATAGATAGACAATATAGACAGCCTAGACAATGTAAACAATAGGCCTATACTAAAAAATGACACACTTAAAGCGGGAGGTCGTCATGATTTAATGCAGATACCCAACGTTTAAGGTGAGAGTCTGAACCCTCCTTACTAATGTTATGGCAAAATCAGTGGCATATCTACGGGGCGGTGGCCTTGGGATATCCCAACAAATCTTCCGAGGCTACCATCCCCCGAAGTAAAAAAAAAAAGTACGTGCAAGCAGTTTAAAATGATCTCATATCACTTAATTGCCAGACAGATGTCCTCCCTTAATCATAGGCATGCGCTTAATGTAGGCCTTAACCTACGCATAGAGAACATTCTATTTTCTCTATGACCTACGTAAATAGACGACATAAAGATTCAACACATTTGACGCACCACCTGTTGAGTGCCACCGATATAAACGGTGTATGTCATTAACTTACTATTACATTCGAGCTTAATTATCAGTAGGGCCAATGCTTACGTCATAGAAACCATTCTGGTCATTCTACTAATTTGGCGTTTTGTCATAGTCTTCTTTCTACACATTGTACCGTAATCAAACTTAACCATTGTTCTGGCTTCTGAGTACAGGTCATGTTATCGATTACGTGTTAGCTGAACTATGGAAGACCAAGGCTGGGACATCGATTTGGTTGTCAAGATACTGAGGCGGCAAAAAGAGCTTATGCTTGCCCCTGAGACAAGCAAATCATACGAAGCACGCCTAGATTTTACACAACAGGATGTGATATGCGAATTACAGGTATTGATGGCCTGTCGATTAAAAAAAAACAGTGTAAAGCACTCCACACTATCATTTTTCTTCTTGACAAAAGAAAACTGTTGTATGCTCATATATAGGCACATCATGATGTGATGTCATCATGACATTAGACATGTGATATTGTAAAAAAAAAAAATGTTGATAGTCTGTACAGGGCTTTAATGCACGCGCGCGTATGCATTAATCAATTAATTATGCATACAAGTGAACCATAAAGCTCTGTCTACATTGTCAAATTATATGTAGATATGCCCATATTTGGGTGTAACATGACATCATTATGCCCATATATGGGCACATCAAACAAATTTGTCGCATAAATTATATAGTGTGGACAGCTTTAAGCAAATTATTTAAGTTATTTAAATCAATAAATAGCGGCACGGATGAAACTAATTCATGAACAGTTACCAGGCGTATGGATGTGTGCTTTTATTTTTAAATTGATAAATTATCTCTTAACAGAACGTTATAAAAAGATACGTGTTTATTTTGATTACTCCTATCAACGATTAGATAATATACATACAGAAACTGATAACGCACGTTCAAAAAGTGTAAGGAAGAAAGACTTACAAGATATAGATAACTCATATTTTTATTGAATAAAATAATTTTACATGCACAATGGAACGTGTTTAGCCTATATTTTATGGGAATGGAACAAAAACAACAGGTTGATTGTGTTACCCAAACTAATGTATTTTAGCCTGGAAGATTAAGAAACTCAAGTACCGTACCGTAACACAGAGAAGATCATTGTTATTGTTATGTAGGGCAAATGTAATCATGAAATACAAACAATGCCTTGTAGTGTAAACACATGCTTAACGCGTTGTATACCACAATGTAGGCCCATATCTTGGTTAATGACTCGTATGTTTTATGTTGCTATTTCTCGTAGAAAATATGGCGTGAAGTAGATTACCAAGTGCTGGATGAATTAGGCGTTGAGATACCACCGAAATTTCCCGGTATTCTCGCCTATGTTCACAAGAGGTACGCCGGCAATCAGCAGGTACAGTATTTAATATTAAATTTACACACGTATTACCATACGTCAAAAAACTGTGTACAGACACATAATATTAAACCATTAAATCTACTACCAACTAAATCGAATATAATCTACAAATTTTTGGTTTTTTTTCCATAACGAATAACATTTGAAGAATTAGCTTGCATCACGTCGGAGTTGGTTTCTTACGTCAAATCTATCGATGAACTATAGTTAAATTAAATATTGTATATATATATATATATATATATATATATATATATTGTATATATATATAATATATTTGATGATTTATATATAATTTAATAGTATTAAAGGCTATCTTGATTTGTATTATGCTACTATTTAATTCCAGCCGTACGCTCATTGTGTAATAGAGTGTACCTGGTTCCTCTTATTTACTTTTTAAAATGTATATGTATAAAGCATTGCCGCAAGACGATTTAGAGTTGAGCTGTTCACGTGTTACATTTTTATAATAAAATATCTCTTCGGAGATCTCGTCTTGTCGTTTAAGATGCTCAATAAGAGGGCGTATCACATTGATTTCTGTTTAAAATGTGTGCTCCAAATACTAGTGTTGTATTGGCATACCGCAGAGTGCGAAATGAATTGTCTCCAATCGGATTCAAACTTCCTATTCTTTACTGTTTTTTATTTTAAAAAAATATTTTTATGTTGAGAAGACCTATCTACATAATAGGTATATCTAACGAGAGAATCTAATGAATGAAAATGTAATGGCGTTCAATGAATCGGGAATCAGGCGTATGGATGAATCGGGAAATTTCGGTTGGGATCCTATGTAAATTCATCTTTAGTTAGTCTTAGCAAAGAGTACTGCAAGAGGTCCGACTGCCCTGATTTTGTATGCACACAATGTAACGTTTAAAAAAGTACTGCCACAAGATAGAGGGCACCCTATAACCATTCGAATAGAGTTCGCTCGAAACTCGTTCTTTAAAGACACACCCCTACGTGGCAGTAGTTTTAAAAATAGGATTACGTTTTAAAGAAACCATGAGAGTCGGAGCTATCGAGTTTAACGCAAACAATCCATCTCACACCCAACCCCAAAATGGAAAAAAAAAATATTAAAAAAAAAAAAAAAAATTGAACGCTATAAATGTCAAATTAAAGACAATTTAGAATAAACATTTTAAATCTGAGAATCAATTTTTGGGTATATACTATTGTTACATCACAGTTTTTTTTTCCGCCTCAGTGGGTCTAGGCCTGTCTCTTATACACATCTAGATGTGTATAAGAGACAGATCGTCATGAACATGATCATCATCGTCATCAGCACGTCCTCATCATTGTCATCATTGTCGAAATCATCATCATCATCTTCGTCAATTTTATTATTATTATTATTATTATTATTATTATTATTATTATTATTATTATTATTCATATTATGATTACTATCATTTATGTTAGTAATCCTATTATGAAAAAAGAGTGAAGTACAAGAGGTTTTATCTGACTAAACAGCTATAGACAATAGATAGACAATATATACAGCCTAAATTGAACGCTATAAATGTCAAATTAAAGACAATTTAGAATAAACATTTTAAATCTGAGAATCAATTTTTGGGTATATACTATTGTTACATCACAGTTTTTTTTCCGCCTCAGTGGGTCTAGGCTTTCCTGGCATTTGCCATTCCCTCCTGTTGTCATTACAAAACATATGTTATGTATCTAAAATTGAACGTCAGCAATATTGTCAAATTAAGACACTTGGAAAAAGATGATTTTTTTAGAGTGCTATTTTAAGAGTGCTTTTAGTACTTACCCCCCTTGGAAAACTTGAATGTCACCTGACCACCTCCCGATTAACGAGTCTAGCTAAGGGCTGCTCACATCGCTAAAGTTATAGGCTCAACATTCTTGTCTGTCAAGTTCAAGAAAGTGCAATCAGACGTTGTCAATCGATTGAAGTGTTCATTAATCATTAGGCCTAACTTTCTTTTTACGTAGGTTTTTAAGGAACTAGACTACATCACACACAGTGGGCCATACAAAGATATCCTCCAAGTGGGGTCAACATATCCTGATGTTGAGTTGGTATCTGTAGAATCGCAGGAGAAGTACCCACTCTCAAGACTGCATCTCCACAAAGAACGCCCCCTACTCATTGTTACGTCATCAGCATCCTGACCCCCGTTTCAGGTAGTTATTACTACTAGATTACAGCTTAATCTTTCATTACTTAAATATTATTATTATTATTATTATTATTATTATTATTATTACTAATACTGTATTATTATTATTACTATTGTTATAATTTTTACTTTATTATATTATTGTTACCGTAACGTTATCGTTATTGTCATCATCATCATTATGATTATTATCATCATAATAATTAATATCATATTACTATTATTGTAGTTGTCGTCATCTATACAATGTTAATTTAAGTTAATATATTTCTTAATATAAAACAATTTATAACATTATTAATATGTTAAACAATAATACTAATAAAAATATCAACAGCAATAAATAGACTTTAGCTCTCGGACTGATATTTCTTTCTATTATATTCATTATTATTTATTAATACTATTATTGTTAAATTATTTCTTTAATAACATAACTATTATTATTATTTATTTAACTAATTTGGGCTTTGTGCTCTACCGTAGAATGAAATAGTATTTGTAGGCAGTTAACAGCGCACTTAGATATTAAATCATAAATATCTTAAAAGATATTAACTAAAAATAAATTTTATTGCATTAAAACCGAAAGTGGAAACCGAACGTATCCGTCTTGAGGACCTGAGAGAATTTGCTAACATTTTATTACTACTTATCCTGGAGTAATCTTTAAAATTCAGCAATGCGGAAAATAATCCTGTATAACGTGTGATTCTAAAGCTGATAATTTAGTTTTGGAGGAGTTTGAAACATAGTTTGTCACCTGTGTACATTTGATAATGTACGGTTGTGACTTGGACTGCCAGCTTTGAGGTCAGGGGCTCGAAACTCTCGCACATGTGCAAGTCGCTTGTATCCTTAAGCAAGGCACTTTATCTACGTTTGTCTCTACCCGGGAGTATAAACAGTGGTGGCGCCTTGATTTGCCTGACAGGGGTCCAGGTCCCCGACGGTGGGGGGGGGGGAATTGTCCCCCCCCCACGAAAAAAAGTTCAACTTATTAAAAACGATTGATTGTTCATGATAATGAATACTTAATTGTAATGCTTATTTAGCGCCATCCTATTATTTTCATGTGTGCACTTTTCCTAATTTTCGCACCATTTTCTTTATAATTCAAATTTACTAATTTTTAAATTCGTTCATTCACTATTTTACGTGTGATATACTATCCCCATCTCCACCCCCTCTTCACACTAGTTTCTTAAAGTAATGTCTGACAAAAAAATATCGGAAACTTCAAAAAATCAACAAACATTTGAATACTAATTTAAAAGGATCGAATAATAATATTCTTTATTAACTTTCAATGAATAATAAAAAATATAGTTTTCGATGATTTACAGGCATTTTACTATAACAATTCTTAAAATGATTACCAGCCAATTTAATAGTCTATATGAAAGTGTATAGAAAAGGTATAATAATACTGTAAATTAATTAGGCAATATAAATATATGTTCTTTACAGACAATAGGCCTACATCTTCAAATTATGCATAATTTCCATCTTTCGGTATAAGTACACTTTAACAGCTTGTCGACCTTTCTTTAATATTTGTCGTCATTTTTAACACAGGCCATCTTAAGGGGCGGCGGACTCTACAATCTGTATGCCGACTATAAAGATACGGTGGATTTTTTATGTATATATCAGACTGAAGCTCATCCTAAAGAGATGTGGAATCTAGGATCTATCCTAAGCAGTATATCACACCACGCTACGATGGACGACAGAAAAGAAGCAGCAATGTAAGTTGGACGCGGGTGGGCCAGCGGGGTCTGGACCCAGCCGTCAAGGTATCAGTCAGGAAAAATAGCTAGAATCATTTTGTAAGCCACATACAGCGGACCAGGCCTCATCCATCGTGGAGCTAAGGTGGGTGGGGCCAATCTGTTGGGGATCGATCGACAATATAGATTGTGTATAGTATATATATTACATCGCTATTAGTTACTATCGTTATTAAATACTGTACATACAACTTTGATTGGTACATACAACTTTAATTATGGTGTATATAATAATTATGAGTGTGGGTGGGTGTTGTGTATATGTTATTTTGATTGTTAGTTGTTAGTTCCAATAGGTAATGTAGGCCTAAACACCTGGCCCATCTACTGTATGTTATACGTAAGTATATCCCCTTTAGCAGTGTCACTCCTTATCATCCCATGCTCGATACCATTTCCTGCCACAAAACCTATCTCCATTAAAGAAATTTAAGCGCCAGAAACATTTTTATAACGTTCGCGAACGTTGCGGTTTTGCTATATATGGTCATGATGTGATGTCATCATGACCATATTTAGACATGTCACTTGTTTTTGGCGAATGAATTTTGATAGTATGGACAGGACTTTATTACCTTTCTTTGTATGTTTCCATTTACTTTTGCCTTTTCTGTCACATTCAATGAGCCTCACCGGAGTCTCAATTAAACTTTGCAACTGACCAATCAGAACAGAGCACGTGTTGCTTAAGAGGCGGGGCCAGGAATACGTGTATGTCTCACGAAAACAAAACATTACGTTTATGATCGCGCACATCAGATGTCTGCCTTATTGATAATCCAAGAAAAGGGGTGGGGAAAGGGCTTTAGTGGATGATGCTCTATCTATGTTAGTAACATTGCGCGGGTTCTAGACACATATTCCAATCCTATTCGTATGTTTATGAAGCCCTTTCTTAGTCTGAACTGCGCATGTCCATATCAAGGTCCATCGACATAAGAAATCACACATCATAAGGTAGTTTCAAAATGTTGCAAACAGTTTATTATTATTATTAGGCCTATCATATTTTTTGTGTGTGTTTTCGTTTATGTGCTTCGACCTTGTTCAATCTCTCCAGTTGGAAAAGCGCCTGAAATTGACTTATTTTATTTATTTTAGGAACTTGATCAAGATAGATGAAGAACACTACTCCTTATTTACAAGTGATCCATTCTCTAATACTAAAATCCGTTTGGTTTGCGATAACATGGACAACACCTTCAGATCATCGTTCAACGCCCATCCGGACAGGATTTTTCTTATACAAGGCGAAAAGTTAACCTACCTCGGACGAACTATTTTTTCACAAATGTCTGAACCGATGAAGTTGATGACAGATGAAGCCCGGCAATTACTTAAAGAGATTATCGGATAAACAGAATCAGTAAAAGAAATTCTCAGTAATATAAAAACTCTCTCAGGTTTCGTGTTTCGTGTATTCTCTATTTGAAAAACGAAAATATTTTAACTAGACATTTCATTATCATTTATCTTTGATAACCAGGGAGCTAAGTTAATGGTGAAGATTGTAAATTGATTGAAATCTCCAGAAAAAAATGTCTTTCAATTTTAAAATAGTGAAATTACAATGAAACGTATACTGTACATTGTAGGCGTGATTAACTCCTCACACACACTGGGCCATACCGTCCCCATGTAGGCCTAGATTGTGACTGCGTGGATCTACGTGAACGAAAGTGTGCTATAAATACTAAAATTTGGATAACTTCCAATGTGGTAGTACAGAATGTACTGTATATTTAGACTCTACTCCTATACTGTATTCAAAAATGTACTTTATGCGTTCAGCTATAAGTCTTATCAATGGCAAAATTTGTTATTTGAATTGCAAACTTCGTATTAGTAGCTTTCAATATTGAAAAGTATAACGAGATTGCGTTCTCTTTCCATTTCGAACTTTATAAACTATTTGATTATTAGAGATGTTCAATGTTTTATTGAATGCTTGTTTTACGATTGAAGAACAGAAAGTATATTCATGCTATGCCCTATGCTATGGAATACTTTATTCAAATATCATTATAAAAATTAAAACTATAGGGGCGACAATCATGTTCATAAGAGGAACAATAGATACTCGTCATAAAATATTGAAGGTAATTTATAGTCTTATAATATTTAATAAAACTTTAATTAAATTTAAATTTATTCACTCAAAAATGCAAAGCATAATGTCAGGCTGGCATGAGGAAAACTTGAAGCTGAATCTCTGTTTACGCTATCAAATTTTATTTTACTAAAATCGTATGCCCATATAGTCATGATGTGCCTATATAGGGTCATGATGTCATCAGGACCATATTCAGGCATGTCGCATGTTTTTTAACAAATTAAATTTAGTCTGGCCAGGTCTTGAGGAACACTTGAAGCTAAATATCAATTCACACTATCACATTTTATTTTATTTAAAAAAAACTGTTGTTTGCCCTTATATGTGTCATGATGCGACTATATATGGTCATGATGTGATGTCATCATGACCATATTTAGGCATGTCACATGTTTTTGTCAAATGAAATTTTATAGTGTTAACAGGGCTTAAGCTTGTAAACAATGTGTTCTCCGGCAAAATTTATTTATATCAGTACATAAGTTTTTCATTATTGAAGAAACAAGAAAAACCTCAATTAAAATCCATTTAGACCTATACTTGTTAAGTAACTATTCTTTATAATGAACTACTCAATAAATTATCTACACTACCGTTCAGTTGATATTAGTTACACTGCGATGTATTTGCTTACATTATGAAGATTAAAATTATTGTGTTGGGGATGTTTGTGAATTTGTCGTATGTATTTATACTAGGCCTAGGTTTCGTGTAAGGAACACCCCCGGGAACCTCTCCCCATGGTTCCATCGCCGGGATTCCAAACCGACGCCTTCTCGGTTGGTATCAATTGAGTTATAGGCCAAGCTAGTAATAGTATACCGCACTGAATTTCTTAATCATGTACGTACTTGTGAATTCGTGGCCATTTATATGTTTTAAGTTAAACAATAACGTTCAAGACCACAATGACAACAATTTGGTAAATGTAGATTCTGCAGCCTAATCGTTTGATGAATTGTCTTAATACGCTACTGTTTCATTTCGAAAATGAATAAATGTTCTACTTCACAAATGTATATAATGTGCAATTTTTGTAGTCGTCTTTACAAAAGTTTGGTTTACGATCGACAATAGTAATATATTTATATATATATATTACTATTATATAAATAATATATATATATATATACAGTATATAAATTTCTATTAAGCTCTATCTGAGAT